AACATATTCTGTTACACCAAATACACAAAATAATGATCTTTAAAAAAGTATCATATGACCCCTTTAATGGATAAATTAATGGCACATATTGATACATATTATGATGCATATACGATATATATATATATATATATATATATATATATATTGTCAGGGGTCTCCTCTGACAGTCTTGTCTACCCTGTCGTTGTTTAATGTTTCTCTGTTTGTGTTGTGTTTGAGCACATGGCTCCATCTTTGTTTCTGTTTGCCATGTGCTCCTCTTGTCCTGCCTCCTTGTTTCCCATTGCCAGACCCCCTTGTTTAGTCCTTGTTGGGTCCTCGTTTGTCTGAGTGTTGTCACCTGTTCCTCATGTCTCAGATCCCATATATTGTGTTCCCTTTCCCTCTTGTGTTGCCAGTTCATCATACTAACTATTTTTTAAGCCACTTTGCTTCCCCTGTTGCTTTAGTCTGTAGAGTAAGCTTCTTGTAGTTCTACATGTTTATTCTAGTTTTGTTCAGTCTTTTGTTCCTGACTGTCCAATTGCCATTGTTTGGTTTTATTCTATTCTAGTTTTCTTTTTATTTTGCCATTGTAGTTGACTTTATGCTTTTTCCCTAGTTCTTTAGTTTATTCCTAGTTATAGTTTTCGCCTTTTGCTTTTTACTTCTGCAATTTTCTATTGGTGGTTTTGCATTTGTCTTTGCTTTCTGTTTTGTCTTGTGTCTTGTCTGCAGCGTGCGTCTCTGTTCTGTTCCTGACCTGGAGGCTGAGCATCTATGGCCGATCTCTGTTCTTGCCTAGCAGCAAGACCTGCTTGAGTGACCACGAGTGTTCAGGCCCTTGTGCTAAGGGTTCCTGTCAGAACTTCGCTGCTACCTACTGGTCTCACTCTGCCCTGCCATTACTGCTGACCTGCATGCTGTCATCTTGGCCTGGACTCAGCGGCCACTCTCTCAGCCTGCCTGTCATTGAGCTTTATCGGCCTATTGTTTAGACTGTGTTCACTCTCCTCTTGTCTTTTCAGCCATCCTGTGAATAAACCTGTTAACACTTGTTCTGCATTGAGTCCTCTCTCCTAGAATCCCATATATATTTAACTTTACACCTTAGTTAGGTTAGACGCTGTATTGAATTTAACATTTTTGTCTAAAAGTTTGTTTTTTTTCCTGAGACTTTTTGCCAACTGAAAAATCGGTATGTTAAATAACAGTATAGTCCAATGAACGCATACTTCTATCTCTCACAGCCTCATTTTGATTACTGTCTAAAATTAAATAAGGCATTACCCTGACCAAGATCTATTGACAAAATAATATTTAATGGTTTCATAGTCTGAGAAAATAAGCAAAAAATAAAACACTCAAAAACTTTGAATTTTTGAAACAATTTCTCTCTCCCTTATGTCGGTATGTTAAATAACAGTATAGTCCAATGAACGCATACTTCTATCTCTCACAGCCTCATTTTGATTACTGTCTAAAATTAAATAAGGCATTACCCTGACCAAGATCTATTGACAAAATAATATTTAATGGTTTCATAGTCTGAGAAAATAAGCAAAAAATAAAACACTCAAAAACTTTGAAAAATAGCAATTTCTCTCTCCCTTATGGAACTAAAAATCTATTAGCGGTTATTTTACATCCAATTACTGTGCAACAATGCGGCCAGTCCACATTCTATTAGATTCGGTTCACTGTTGCAACACTGGATGGACAATAATAAACAAACCACTTATTTGTTTTTATTTGAAGTATTGAATTCACTTGCACACATGTCCAGATGTATCGAGAGACACTGAGCTTATAAGGGTCGGGATGTTTTTTAGATGAATGAAGGACTTCCAGATGTGGGCAGATTGTGGCCCCAATCTTTTCTCTCAAGGTACATTAAATGTGACCCATGAGGATGACAGTTGGTGTGTGAAATTACATTTCTGATTTCTTTCTTGTCGACAGCCAGTGGTCATGCTAAATCTTGATTTGTTGAGCAGAGCTCCTTGCCAGAGGATATTATGTAGTTATTATTAAAAGGTAGAGTACACACAAGACTTAAAAAAGACCAGAGCGTTAAAAGGATTGCCAAGCTATACATTTTCTGCATTGCATACAATCTTTTGAGTGATCCAGTTTCCTCAAGATAATCTTGACTGATTTCATAAAAAAAAATATCTTATACAACCAACAATAAAAATAAATAAATAATAATAATAAAATAAAAAATGAAAAAAATTATAATACAAAAAAACTATTAAGGAAAAGAAAATATGCCCATATGTGTAGGTGAAATTAGATGTCTGCAACCCAGATGTTTTCATGATGCATGGTTAATTAACACTGATGAGTTGCCACAGCTCATCACAATTACATGCTTCCCACAGAGGTTCTTGGAGGAATCTGCAATTCAGGTAATGCATGTGATGTGCTTTCTCCACAATAACATAATTTGCATGCCTGCGGAGTCCTTTTGTTGAGTTATGGATGTTTTTTTATTTTACTCAAAAAGGAAAGGTGTTCCCCATAGCGACCCCTAGAGGACGCAGTTCGAAGTTCCCATGAAAGGGAACTCTCATAGTGAAAATGATCACAAATATATATATATATAAAAAAATGCTATTTTATAAAAATCCACCAAAAATATTAAATAAAATAAATGCCCATAGCAATGTAGTGTTGGTTGAAAGAGTGATTCACTAAAATGCTAAAAATTGCTTTGTAAGGGGCAGTTCCCTGGGCTTACTCTGAATCATCTAGCATCAAAACATCCTTTGTCACAGTACATGGACACATAAATAATGTGTGCATTCTGTATTGTGAATGATGACAGTAAAATTATGGCCAAAAGAATGAGAAAACCCTCGACAAAGCAATGTCCATAATTTGCTTTGTCTGATGTTGAAGAATTTGAAAGGCCTCCACAAAGCCGTTCCCCAAAACCCCAGGAAACTTTTCAGATTGACACAACATCAGTGACCTTACTGTTTCTCCTTGTTGAACATATAAAACATGCCAAAATAAATAAATAAAAAACATTAATCCCTTCCTTTGCAGCCATAACAGTTTACACTCTTCGGGGAAGGCTTGCAACTAAATGTAGGAACATGAATGGGATTTGTGCCCATTCAGCGCATCAGTGAGGTACGGCACTAACTTTGGGCAAATGTTGGCTTGCAGTCAGTATTCCAACTGATTCTGAGGCTGCCCAAATACAACTTATCAGAAAAATTATCAAATTTGTAATAGCATTGTCTATCATCATGCATTGTCTTAACCGACTGGCATATTGAGTTTAAGTTTAACGCGAATTGAGATGAAACCACCAGGTGGGGACCGTGAGCTTTTTCTGAATTACTTTGTGTCAAATTGAAATTAGTTGGAATAGAATAGATAAATAAATGGTTTAATGTGGAAAGGAACTGGCAAAACGCATCATACCAAATAATTTACATCGTTATCCAAAAATTTGAAGACCTATATTAGCCTTTTTCTGTCCAACCCGAAAGAACCACACAGCATCTTCCAACTTAAATAAAAGGTGAGCTCTGAATTTCAAATTAAAAAGAAAAAAATGGATTTCCAATGACGCGTTTGTTCTTTTCGTTTCATTATCGTGCTCGCACAGCATCTGTGCGCGACCAAACATCATTTTCCAACCTGCGTGGCACACCTGGCGAGCTGTGAATCACATATGCAGATTACTCAAATTTCGTATTAAAAAGAGAGATCTGTATTTGAGAGGAAGCGTCCCTTCGTTTTCTCTCAGAAGCGCGTGTTCACAGCTTCTGCTTGTGTGTGCGAGCGCTGCGCACTTGGCAGCGACGCTCAGAGGAGTGAGGTGCGTGGAACCGAGAGCTACAATTGGTTTCGTGATGAGGAAAAGTGAAGGAGCAGGGCGTTGCGACCTGTAGTCTTGTCGTCTTTGAAAAAACACAGGGCTCATGCTTCCTTATCACTGAATACTGACTGAGGGATACGATTTGGAACTCTTTTTGCGTCATGAAACTCAATAATTTGACTTTTTCTCAAAAGGAGACATGGTCGATTAAACATTAATACGACATCAAGCCAAAAAAGAAAAGAAAATAACAACTTAATATTTTTTTAATAACATTGAACATTTTTTCCCAATAGGAATGGATTCGCTCATCACTTCCACTGACTTTCAAAGTAACTGGACAAACACCATGGCACAGAATGAAACCGATTTATACTGGAACCAGTTTGTGCAACCAGTTTGGAGAATAGTGCTCTGGGCAGCGGCTTACAGCACAATTGTCATCGTCTCCGTTGTGGGCAATATCACGGTGATATGGATCATTTTGGCGCACAAACGCATGAGAACCGTCACGAACTATTTCCTCGTCAACTTGGCGTTCGCTGAAGCGTCAATGTCCGCATTCAACACCGTTATAAACTTTGTCTACTCCGTGCACAATGAGTGGTATTTCGGACTCTATTACTGCCGATTCCACAACTTCTTCCCCATAGCCGCCGTCTTCGCTTCTATATACTCAATGACCGCGATTGCGCTCGACAGGTAAGTTCATTCGTTTCTTTGCATGTTTTGTTGTTAGAAAAGTACAAAATATAAACTACATAAATGTATATAAAATATAAAAGTGCACAACATTTAAATAATTAGTTCGATTCGTTCTTTAAACAGCCCCTTATATAAAATAGCCATGGTTTCCTCTCGACTGTAGAAAATAACTGGTAATTTGATATTAGCCACCCCTGGTCAAAAATAGGAAATATTCTGCTTTTCTGATGCTTCTTTCACTGCTTAGTACTTTTCATATGAATTGATTATGGTTTTACAGCAGTAACTGTAACTATGGTAGGGTAAAATGGAGGAAGATTTACTTTTAAATTGTAACATATTTAGATATATGTCCAGTATGATGATGCATCAGCCAATGTGTTATTAAGGGGAGACACTGCAGGCAAAAGCACTGTTTCTTCATGCACCTGTCAATTTTGAGATTATGGGCTTTTTGGCTTTTAATAAAGTGTTTTTTTCATACTAGTGGAAAGAAAACATCCAAAAGACACTGTTTCTTTTATAGCACTTTATCTATTTGTGTCAATATATTTCAATTACAATACATATTTTTAAAGGCCGTTTTCTCAAAATGAGTTTTTTCTCCTACACTGAGCCATAAATCTCCACTTCAGTAGCACTTACACACACCAAACTTTACATTTTTCAGCCAATGTGTTATTAAGGGGAGACACTGCAGGCAAAAGCACTGTTTTTTCATGCACCTGTCAATTTTGAGATTATGGGCTTTTTGGCTTTTAATAAAGTGTTTTTTCATACTAGTGGAAAGAAAACATCCAAAAGACACTGTTTCTTTTATAGCACTTTATCTGTTTGTGTCAATATATTTCAATTACAATACATATTTTTAAAGGCCGTTTTCTCAAAATGAGTTTTTTCTCCTACACTGAGCCATAAATCTCCACTTCAGTAGCACTTACACACACCAAACTTTACATTTTTATTCCTGTCTATATTCTGAAGGTTTTTACAGAGGGATTTGTTCATATATAATTTGCTTGATTATATACAACATTTTATTTTCCCCAAAATTGTGAAAATATAGTGTTTTCTGGCTGTTCAAAGTATTTTCTGAATTATGGAGTAACAAAAAGAGATACCCAAAATTCCCTCTGTAAAAACATTTGCCTCTAATATGTCAGAAAAAATAAAAAATAAACAAGAATTTTGAAACTGACTTCATCCAGTGTTCAGAGTTTTGTACTAGAAATGTATGCAAATCAGCGCATATTTCATTAAATAATGCCTCATTTGCATATTTAAACATAACATTTTACAAAACTTGTAATACAAAAAATGTTTGCAATTATCAATGTAATCAATCAACTGGGTAAGTAAGGTGATAATTAGTAGTTAATTTCTTTACGCTATTCACCTGCAGTGTAAAAGAACAAAAAAAAAAGGCTGATTAGTTGTCATAGCACAAAATGTAAAATTATTCAAAGAAGCCATCTTACCCCAAGGGTTTAATTTTATCGTTTCACTTCAAAATAAAAACAATATATATTTTTTTTTCATTCCACAAATTTAAAAACATGAATGTGTCCAAAATCCCTCATTAACAAACAGACACACACACACACACACACAGACACACACACAAAACTTTGATATTCAACATAATACAATGTCACAGATCACTATTTGATCAATGACTGAATATTACACATGTTGACATTCACATGAAATGACAAAATTAATTAAATGTGATTTTGAAAAAAATAAGGTGGGGGGCATCTTACTCTACTGTTGACAGAACTATGGTTACTATGGATGTGTAATAGTAATGCTAATTATTGTTGCTAATTAGTGTGAAATGTTTAGCAATGATTAGTACTGCCATCACAATACAAACACAAGTATAATGTTGTAGCTCTTTTCAGGTCCATATTAGGAATTATCTGTCATTTGTCTGTGACGTCATATGATAGATGATAGTTATTTATCATCCCACTCATAACCTTCCATAGTCATTGTTTAGAAACCTTAATTTCTTTAGTGTGTGTGTGGTTGAGTGGTGATGAGGTAATTGTAAGAGTGCTGTGTCTGCCTTGTTTCTTCATTCAATTACCATGTGTAACATAAGGGATTATTCACAAGAGGGCCCAGATTTCAGGTAATGTTTGACCTTTCATTACCCTGTTCTAATTCTAAGATGTCATTTTTCCAACCTTTTGACACAGCACATCGAATACTCAAAAAACAGTGCCTGCTTTCATCTATCTACATGCAGAAACATGAACTTCTTTAAAATGCTATTACCTGAGAGACCCGTGGGGGAGATGGAGGGCAGGCTTCAGGGAAAGACGTGTGTTTCAGGTCCTTATAGAGGAAATACTTGTTGGAGAACTAATGGGTTATTTGGTTATTTATTTTAGGAAGATTCTTTTGGGGGGCGGGGGGCAAGCCAAGATTACATTCTCTCTAAACATATTTTGAAGGATGGGGTTGCAAACAAATAACTCAGAGCAAATGCCTGATGATTTTTCTTGTAAAGAAGACATTTATAAATGCCTAGAACCTAGAGCCTAGAGCTTTTCATTAAGCACTTCTGGGAGTAGTTCTGAGAATAGAATGTTTCAGTAGAATTTTAGCATGTTTTATCTTCTGCCAGTTTTAAGTGATTTCTGTCAGGCAGTGATTTGATTACTATCAACTAATGGGCAATAGGAGGATTGAAAATTGAATTATGCCCAAAAATGTAATGTAGAAGTAACATTTAATTAGCATTCTCAGAATGCTTGGTTTCTGACCAACCTTAAATAATTTTAGATGAAACAGTTAAAGTCCGTATGAAATGAAAATGCACCCTATATTTATTTTCTAAATGTAAGTATGTAAATGTACAAATCATCCATGCATTTAATTCTTCCCCTTAATTTTTAAAAAATCCAGTGAAAAAACATACTTCTCCAGTCATTTAGTCTAAACCCGCCCCTTTCATGCAATTGACTGTAAGCTCACATTCAGATTCGCCTCCATCCAATCAATAACTGAATAGAACCAAAACTCCGCCCTACATTTTTTTTCTTATCGATAATCCATTTAACTAGGATGTCACAATACGAGAAAAAAAAAATCTGTAAGTAAAAAATCTAAAGTATAATCCTTTATACTTTAAGAAGGTCCAGCACAATAACAAAGTAGTCATAAAAATATATTATATATTTTAGATATTATTTTTTATATTTAAATCATATATACTATAATATTTAAATTTCAACATTTATTTAGATGGATATTGATCTTTATTTTTCCTTACTGTGCATAAGAGTATAAAAATCCTCCAGTAAAACCCAGTTGTAATTAATTATTCTAATACAAACTCTCCTAGGCACTTTGGCTGAGGTGTTTTTCCTGCCCAGATTTCAGCTCTGTTGCTCTGGTTGAGTCATTGTTGCTTTGTTAACACATGCAGACAGGTGTACATTCACAAACAGCAGCACGGCTGTCACCTCTGTGCAAACAGATCACTTAATACACACATCATAATTGTGTTACGTGCTTTAGTAGCAATAAACGATTGCATCTCTGTCCAAATATAATATCTCACATTCTCATTTGTCGCACTTATCAGCTGTTTTTACTTCCTTATTTCATTTCTTGCATTTAAAAACATATAAAGGTGCTGACGAGCACACACTCCTCAAAGTCGAGTTGTAACGGCATGCTAAAGAGCATTTGTGTGCTGGTGAAATGACACACGACTCTGAGGTTCAAACTGTGATGTGTGGCAGGAATAAGATTCCTAATCAAATGATCTGCAGAAGCTACATTTGAAAGAAAAGCACTGCAAGCATCAAATTGTGTATCCGCACTGTCCATCTCTGCTCCCTCTAGCATGTTGTCGTTATTGATTTAGCCCTGGTGCTGTTCAGACTGATGATCTGTTGCCCTGAGCTCCACTTATGTCAAACAGATGTGCTTGAATGCATGTTGATGCTGCGTCTGACCTCTTCACCCGCTGGAGACTCTTGCATGAGTCTATTGTCAGTTCCTCATTGCTCACTCATCTTTTCTGGAACTGTATGTAATCATATTGTCCTTCAGGACATTACTTTAACTGAGCATGACTGGAGAGGCTGAAAACAAATGCATGGAAAAAATCTGACTGTCCATCACTTATAAGCTTGTGTGTGTGTGTGTGTGTGTGTGTGTGTGTGTGTGCGTGCGTGCCTGCTGGTGGTTTAACTGTAAGGTTTTCCCATTATCAGTGGAGTGGAAGTTCTCTCATTTTACTGAATTACGAATGTTAAGTTGACGTTTTGTTCTCTTTGATGTTTTATTTTTTGAGGCACTGAATTTCAAGGAAATTCAAAGCAATAGTTCATTTACTTGACCTTATTTTTCTAAACCCGTATGAACAGAAATAATGAAAAATGGGAATTGATCTGTCAAACTCCAAAATGACGAATGCACTATAAAACACCCATAAAAGATGATTTAGTAATGTTACCTTCTGTCAAAACCGCTAAAAATGTATTTCAAAAGTCATAGACTATGGACTGCAAAAATGGTGTGTTAAAACTATTAATTGTCAGATGCCATTAGTTTTTGCATGTGGTGCAATATTTGCTACAAGTGCTACAGCGGAACTATAAATTCAATCTGTTCTTCACACAGAGCTGTCATATTGCTTCAGAAGTTATTTTTTATGATACTTATATGATGTTTTTTTTTGTCATTTGAAGCCAATCTTTCCGCTTTCACTTTTCTTATATGGAAAAGAGCAAGCAATATTCTGCATGCGCTTTCCCATATAATAAAGGTGAAAGGGGAAAGATTTGTATTCATATTCACTTTTTTGTGTTCCACAGAATAAAGTCAGTCATATGGGTAATGGTAATTCAAAGTGCTTTACATAAAAGAAAGTAAAATAATCATAAAAAAATTATCACAAAAATAAAACAAGGAATTTAAAAACTTGGAAAATAATTTAAAAATTGTTTTAAAATGAGTTTAAGACAGTTAAAAAT